ACACGAACGGGTCGAATGGCTAATGATCTAACCACTTGGCGACGATCCCATGTCGTAAAACTATGTACATATTTTAAAATAAGAAAACAAATCCTACTAGTGAGTATTATAGAAATAAGCATGGATATTTTATAAGCATACAAACTTCATTTTTATCGTTTAATATTACAAATGATATTGAATTATTTTCTTTAAACTATTACCGCTTTATATTATTTTTAAACTAAATGCTATAAAATCTTTAAATTTATTATTTTTTTAATTGGACAATGGTTGCATTAATTTTTCTCGAATTTTTTTTATGTTTTTACAGGATTATCGATTATTTGAAGTAGTCACTTATATTTTTCTTCGTTTCTTAAATAATATAGATATTTTAAACTGCTCAAGACTACTGGATTTTTAGGAATATCGATGATTTGAATGAAAGAATTCATCGATTAGCAAAGGTAATATATATATATATATTCCCTGACGATATGCTTAGGTGAAACCTTGGTAGGTTTGTCTGGTTCTCTAGGTTTAACTAGGTCAGCTCAACTCATTGTATTGAGCACTTTATTTAGTTGTTTTGGGTACTCGCATCGTTTTTTTTTTTTCTTTGGGTCTTGAACTCGTATGCTGGACGATTATTTTCCGTTAACGTACATGTTCTTGGTTCTTTCTTTTTTTTTTTTTTTGTACCTTTTTTCCCCTTTGGTGTTGGCTTGTTTATTTGCAAATCAATATACTGAAGGTTTTCCGAGCGAGTATAGTTTCTTATACTTATAAGATTTCTATTAAGTACACACACACACACACACACACACACACACACACACACACACACATATATATATATATATATATGTATGTATCTTTATTACTTCTTACCTGACTTTCCTCTTTTAAACTTTAAGCTTGACCTTTTTACCTTCTTTTACAATAGCCCCCCCCTACCTACGCTCTTTATTCTGTATTTGCCCACCAACAATATATTAAGTTTATATTAAATTTGAGCTTTGAATCTGCATTTAATTTAGCGTTCCTTCTATGAGACTCAGTATTTTTTTTTAAATCAAAAGTAATAATTCGTGCCTGATGAGTTGGTAGAACAACGAAACTTTAAGTTGCACCTCGAACGTAGATATATGTATATTTATTAATATATACTTCTTAGCTCTGTCTTACCACACTCAGCGCTGTTTTGTTTACATCTTATATTAAATTGAGTAAATATTTATTCGCTTACCTGTGTATGCACGCTAACGCACGTATATAGGGTTACTAATATCTAGTTATTTGATTTATCCACATTAATACCTATATATATATATATATATATTGTTGTAACGTAGAAAAGGTTACTGAATGAGAAATAACCAAAACGGAAGTTGGAAATGAAATGGTAATCTTTATAACATCAACAAAATACAATACTCACCAGCAGCATGAAGTAGGTAAACCACTGCTAGTGGTAGACTACTTAGACAGCATATTACCCCCACTTACAATAGTGTCCAACGTATTTATGAGGATTGGGACATACCCATTAGTGTTCATAGGTACGGTATGTGTGTGTGTGTATGTGTGTGTGTGTGTGTGTGCGTGTGTGTGTGTGTGTGTGAAATGGATTATATGCAAACCAGTTGCATGTTTAAATTTTTTATTTAAACTTGTGGTTCTGATGATTTCTTAACTGAACGAAATGTTAACAACAGAATAAAAAGTTTTAAACCAACAAATGATTTTCAGATATTCCATCTTATTGACTTTGTTCAGATATTTCATATCATCCATTTTATCATATATATTTTATTTAATCATTTCACCCCATACAATAAAGCCAGTAAGACGCAGGAGGTTACTGAGTGTGAAACAATATAAAAAAATAAAAGCCTTAAGGCGCAAGGCCAATAAAAGAAGAGGGATTAAGAATGCAGAAGATAAGACTTTACCTCCAATTTAGTACTGCGCTTAAATTCATAAACTCTTGGTCCCATAGATAAAAGTTCATCCGAATAATTACCATGAAATATTTATACAAATGACACAAGGAAGATACATTACGTCAGTGGCAAAAGTTACTGAAGCCGATATTACAGGTCAGCACCAATGACATTGCAGATTCTTTTGTGTTTTTCCAATTTTTGGCGCTATCAGAACCACCGCAACGTAATTTTACGTAGTCCTGTGAAGTTTTGTTGAAATCGGTTGAAAAATGTAGGAAATTCGATCCAATATATAAACGTACACACACACACACACACACATACACACACACACACACACAATCTGCGTTTTATAATAAGTAAGATAATCTTATCACTTCATGTTAGCTGAAAACTTTAGCGCAAGAAAGCGAAACGTCTCACTCTCTTGGAGGTTAGCATTCTGATGGAGGGCAGAATGGTGTCTCTCAGATTATTAATAGAGAGCAGTTTCGTTTTAGAGACATTAAAATTAACAAATCGTTCCTTGCTCAAGTTAACAACAGATTGTAAATCATTTTTTAAATCTGCTACCAATTTGGCCTTATCGAATCGATCAGACTTACTAAGACAGGAGTAAATAGTTGTATCATCAGCATAGATACCAAATTGAGAACTTATACAATCAGGAAGGTTGTTGACGAAAATTAGTAAAATCATAGGTCCAAGTATAGAGACTTCGGAATGCCTGCATTAATTTAACAAGATCTAGAAGAGTGGCCGTTCAAGACAGCTTTAATTTCGCAATTAGATAAGAAAGACCGAATCAGTTACAAAATTCGCCCAGAAATACCATAACCTTTGAATTTGTGAAGAAGATCAGTATGCCAAAATCCATCAAATGTCTTCGAGATACACAAAGCAACAGACCAAGTTTTACCATTCTTATCTAAAGCTTGATAGATTCTTTCAGCAATAATCGTTAACAAACCAGCAGTTGACCTAGAAATGTGAAAACCATATTGCTTATGTGACACCCTGCGAGTAGAGATGCCTAATCAATTCAAAGTTGATTAATGACTCTAATACTTTGCCAAAAAGAGAGAGAAAGTATCATTTAGAAGGATCATGTTGAGTTCTTAAAGACTGGAAGTGCAGAAGAGGATTTTCAACAAGTTGGAAAGCAAGAAACAGCAAGGCATTTATTGCAGTTTTGAGAGAACAGGAGCCAGTTTAGGGGCACATTTCTAAAGGACTATTAATTGTGGGGATCCAGTATATATATATATATATATATATATATTGATCCCCAAAAGATATATATATATATATATATATATATATATATATATTGTAGAGTTTAAAGAGAACAGGTGTCAGTTCAGGAACACATTTCTTAAGGACTATTGCAGGAACACCATGAAGTCTACATTCTTTGTGGGGATCCAATATATATATATATATATATATATATATATATATATATATATATATTGATGCGTAAAAATATACGCGTATGCATCGAAGTTACTTTATTCTTAATATAAATCAATGAAAAGTTTACGGGACATGTTTTTTGTTGTTATTTTTTTTTTTTACTGGTTCTCAAATCTGTCAACATTGTAAAGAAATTGTAGGAGTCTATATTTTATTTGTGATTTTATTTTTCTATGTTTACACAAAACGCAGTCGTTAGAATATAAATTTCTTATATAGAAAATTTTCCTTTTTATGCAAATAATTTTATTGATTTTCTCGAAGCCATTTTTATGTTTGTATCGCCTAATATTTTCGTGTCTTCTTTCAAGATCGTATACTGCCAATGTTTCTCAAAGAAAGTGGACGATATTTTATAACATAAAAGTTGTCTTTTGCAATGAACCTCTTTTTCAATACTGAAAACTGGTAATTGAACGCGACTGAAAATTGGTATACCTGCCACAACACGCTTCTCCTTTTCTTCCATTGTCTTGTTAAGCTGGGTTACTTGGTGCAAAGTAGGATCATCTTCAATTTTATTATTTTCATTAAATATATTCTATTACCTAATTTGAATATTTTCGACTTAACTTTCTTTCAAAACTTCCAAAATCAGGACACATATACATTCAGAAAGTGTATTTATCTTTATTGGGAACAGATTTTGTATAGATTTTTATTTTTTTCAATATTGTGTCAATGTTAACACGAATTTAAAAATCTGTATTATATAGCATTGCTTTTGGTGAAGTATTTACTTTTTATTCTCTTGGAATGTTATGTATTAAAAATATGATTTCTTCGCATTGAAAAATATCACAGTCTAATTGAATTAAATTTCTGTACGAAGTTACATGATCATTATTTAATTTGATATATAGCATTAGTCCTGAAAACTCGGTGGGTTAATTTTTGCGACTTTTTTTCTGGTCCTTACTTTAGATGATCGACTTGTTTTCTATTTATATTTAATATGAAAATTTATCACAAGATAAAGAAGAAACTTCTTAACTGTCTATTTACATGAACTGGCACGCTCGAGCAGATTTCGCTAACTAAAAAAATCCGAATTTTTGTGTTTAAAAATGGATGCCAAGGAACTAGGCAAAGCTGTTTAAGCCTCAATCAGAACACCGGAAAAATGAACAGTTAATAAGATGAAAACAATACTAAAGAAAAGAACCACGATTAGAATCAAGAAAATGAACATAACAAGTAATAAACAATGAAAAAGACGTGTGAGTTTCCACCTATTATAAGGAATACACGCGTCCATGTTTAATTGGTGTGATAGAATTCGTGAATTTAGATAAGATAAGAGGAATGAATGTTAATCAATTTGCTTGAATATCTTCAAAATAATGCTGTATCTAGATACACGGTAGAGAGGAGGATAAACAAAACTGTCAAATCTACAAAATACTATGACCAAGTTACTGTTGAGCATGGTCCTTTGAGCCGTGGAACGAGCAACATTTACTTTATGGGACATGCCACTGTCCACGCCGCAAAACTGATAAAAAGGGAATTATTCAATAAAGTATAGTTTGTGTTGAATACCAGAGCCAGTGCAAGACCAGGGTAGAGACATTCGAAGTCTTTAGCTTCGTGTTATTTGGCAGTCTTTTTCCTCAAATCTGGGAAAATAATAGTTGTGAGTACTAACCGAATATGACGGTGTGGCGGTTTGATATAATGATCGATCCGAAAGCCTTCAACGGTATTGCCATCTAGCACTATAGAAAGACTGTTCACCTCTCTGAACCTTGCTCGAGAGAAAAAAAAAGTACAGGCTGAAAAACTGACTCAAAATTGTCTTGTGAATGGGACTAACTTAGAGTAGCATCTAGAAGTGACTAGTTCAGAATTTTTGGTTTTCTGAGACAGATTTGTCACCTTAGGCCAGTTAAGATAGGTTTCATTTTGCTTTGTTAAAGTTAGTTTAACTTGACTAGAGAATGTAAATACAATGAACTTTAAAATGTTTTTTTTTTATTTGTTTGTTTTTTTTTGTGGCATTTTAGTTTTAGATGTCTTAACGCAACATTCGGTGATGTGGATAATTTTCGTTTATATACCGAGTGTAACGGCAAAATTGTCCAAATCATGTAAAAACAAAATTGTTCAATTGCTTGATTAAGCTTTGAACCGTTGTATCTTAGAAATGATTAAAGATATCTTATTGGAATTCTCCAAGGTTTTTATAACACTACTGAACTCTACTTTGAACAATAAGAATGTATAATTACTCTCCAAGCATAATAGAAGAATTGTGATGAAATCGATCATAAACGAAAATGATATGTTCAGCATTAATTAATCATAGCTAAGGATCGGAAGCTCATGAAGAATTGATATAAAGTTCAAATGAATGTTTTATATATATATATATATATATATATATATATATATATATATATATATATATATATAGAGAGAGAGAGAGAAGGAGAGATTATTTCAGGATCATTTTCCATCTTATTTAAGTTGATCTTCGCCCTCTCTAACCTTGTAACTTTCTCTCCTGAAGTAACAAGGTACCTCACAGGTTTCACATATAAATTTATTTTCAGGTCTTTTTCCACTGCTCTTTGGACTGTCATAGCTGAAACTTCTCTCTCACGTACAAAACGTCTTATGGATTGAGTTGGATTTTTTTAATTGATATCTTTAGTTCTAAGTTTAAATGATGATCGCTCTTCTTCTTATGACCTCCTGATCCAGTTTTCCTCTCTAATGTTCCCTCTTTTTTTAAACTTATTCACCGTTCTCTTGAGTTTTATTGAAGGGAAAAGGCCAGAATGATTTTTTTTCCTTTCACCTTTGCTCATTTTGAAAGAGAGTGGAGCTGACACAAAACGATTTCAACCTGTTTTCTTTCTAGTTGAATAACTCAAAGGGTTTTTCAGTGATTCTTACGACAAATGGTGTCAAAATGGCGAAACGTCTTATCTGAAAACCTGGAAAAAAGAAAATTAATTAGTTTAGTGTTTTTTTGTTTTTGTTTTTTAGATATTAAACATTTGTGGGATGGACAATTATGCTGTTATATGTTATACGATTTGGGCAATTTTGCTGTTACTCTCGATATATAATTTTTCCACATCTATTTACGGCAAGTTAGCTTTTTCTGATTGTGAAAGCTTTAGTATAAATATGATGTTAGAAAATAAAGAAGAGTGACTGGATCATTGAATGTAACTACCTAAATTAATGTCAACATAGTGAAGATCAGTACCTTCAGTCCTGCTCAATTTTTAGTATTCCTTGAATTTTAATTTTAAATACAAAAATAAATGTGGCTTCATCCTTTAAAGTAATCAAATGGAAATTTTTATTTCAATTAACAATAAGATTTTTTTTTGTTTTTTTTTTTTTTGTTGGGAAAGTTATTAATTATAATTTTTGTTCATTATCTTCACAACAATACTTTTTTAATTTTTTCGATATAGTTCAATTTTTTTAATGCTTTACATTTTCTGGAAAAAAATTTAATGTTCAGAAAACTTTTGAAGTGATAACACAATATGATATAAGCACTTACTCTGTAGGGTTACCGTAATTCCCCATGTATAATAAGCAATTTTTTTCTAAAAAAAATAAGTAAAATCAGTGATGCGTATTATGGACAGCGACAAAAAATCCTTAAAAAATTGCCGTTTCATCGATTTCAGTTGCAAAATAACTGCTCACCACAAACATACGACTATTTGACACTAACATTCAGAGATTGCAACCCCATAAGGCTGTCAAATACAATCATATGTACCTAACAATACTTACAAATGTAAAATCAAATAATAATTATTATAAAACTATGTTTGAAATCATTTCTTTATAATAGTAGGAAGCGCTGGCCGTAAATAATTGGAGAGGTACAATTTATAGGGTTTGATTACCAAACAAGATAGATAGATAGATAGATAGATAGATAGATAGATAGATAGATAGGATACGATGCATAAATTGTCTAAATTACGCAAAAATGAAAATAACACTGGCATCTCATTTTAACAGATATATTTACCAAAATTACACAAAAATATCTTGAAATACTAAAGAGGAAATTTATGCAATAAAACTGCCATCGGCTTCAACCAAGGCGTTCAGACGACTTCGTAATCTTCTGCAACTCTTCTTAATGGTCTCCTTGTTTAAGTTGGTGAATGCTTCCATAATCCTTGCCTTCAGTTCATCTTTGGTCTCAAAAGGAATTTTGCTGGTCTATCGCTCAAATGCGCCCCACACATAATATTGATTGGGATTGAAGTTTGGAGAGTTAGGTGGCCAGATGTAAGGGGTATTGTGGTCGCAGAAATTGTCTGACAGCCATGACTGAGTTCTCCTGCTTGTGTGGCATGGTGTTGAGTCCTGTTGTCAGACATAGGGTCTTCCAGCAGCAACCCTCTTGACCCAGGGCAGTACTACCTCCTCAAGGCACTTGATGTAGGCCTCCGTGTTTAGTTTGAAACTCTATGGGAAGATGAATGGAGGCATAACATTGCCAACACTATTGATCATTCCAAACACCATGATATTGAATGAATATATCATTCACCTCTTTCCAAATCCTCTGCACTGTCTTCAGATTGACACCCAAACACTTTGAAATGTTAGATTTGGAGCTTCCGGCACGAATACCAAGCAGTATGACATGCCGTTTCCAAATTTCTGGCGGAGTGAATTGCGTCATGAAATTCTTTTCTCTCACGGACGGTGCCCAGTTGACGCTACCATACCGTGCAGTTGACAAAATCAAAAACAAACAACGCGCATGCGCGAAATTAAAAATATAAATTGGTGACAATTTATCCATCGCATCCTCTCCTATGTGTGTGTGTGTGTGTGTGTGTGTGTGTGTGTGTGTGCATATACCAACACAGTGAATGATAGAGAGGCAGAGACAAAAAACTATAATATCTTACTTATTATAAAACGCAGATTGTGTGTGTGTGTGTCTGTACGTTTATATATTGGATCGGATTTCCTACATTTTTCAACTGGTTTCAGCAAAACTTCACAGGACTGCGTAAAATTACCTTGCGGTGGTTCTGACAGCGCCAAAAATGGGAAAAACACAGTTGTTTTTGCACGAAATCAATTTGAAAACACTATTAAGTCGCCAGAATGAAAGGGGGACAACTCATATCGAGTTATACTTATTATAAAACCCAGGTTGTTTGTGTGTGTGTGTGTTTGGCAAGTAGTGTTTCTTATTGTCTTGCAAATTTTTTCTTTAATTTTACATTCAGAATGCTTTAAAAATTCCATTTACAAGACTATTGTTAATAATAAAATTCTATTCAATCGATAAACTCATAACGATTGAAAACAATGTTTTTGTTTGAGTTTGGGTTTAACCAATGCGTTAAAAAAAAACAAAAAAAAACGAAAAAACTACTTAAGACATGCGTGTCCGTCAACCTTAAACAATAATCTTTGTCAATTCTATTTTTCAGTCTTTATGATGGTCGATACTTGATCTATCTCTTACTGTTACATCCCCGGGCAACGCCGGGCTCTACTGCTAGTATTCGATAAAAGTTTCAAATATAACTAAAGTTTTATTCGAAAAATATGATGTCATTTAAAGTGGACTAATATTAGTTTTTTTTTTTATTTTTTTAAAGTCATCCACTAAGAAAAAGACTCTTTCTCTTTTTTATCATTTATCTACCAGTGAGTCTCTAATTTTTTTATTCCGTCGAGATTGTAATAGATTAAAATAGCATAGATATTTAAAAAAAAAAAAAAAAATTCCAGAAAATCAAAAGTGGCCAAGAAAAAGAAAATAAATTTCAACTCTTGAAAACAATACATCTTGAAATAATTTTAGCTGGGCCAAATAAGTTTGTCATCGAATAAATTTACGAAACACATTACATTTGACTGTCAAGTGACAAACATACATTTTAGACAGTCTTGTAGCAATAGAATAATTATAATTAGAATATGATTCTCTGTTACCGACTCGAATTTAAGGCTTTCCTCGAAAAAAAAAATCATATTTCTTTAAAAGTAACCACTGAATGAAAGCTCAGACCGCTCACTAACAACATTTCTCCATGAATGTAAACCGCCTTAATATTAATAAACCGGGAAATATCTTTATAACAACACTTCGTATGCCGTGTCCACTTTCTCACGAGATCAAACTGTTCATATAAGGGCTACACTGTAATGGCATAGAAAATACAGCATTGAATTTTTGTATTTTATTGACAGAATAAGTCAAATCTGACTGAAACACTTTTCACAAATCCTTGAGAACAATATACAAAGAACATTCTTCTTTTATACACTTTCCTTTATGTGATGTTAAATTTAAATTGATTATGAGAAGTCTAATTGATCTTCCTGGTAGGATTTTATAATGGGAGATGAATTGGTAAGGCGTTCCTGGGTTCCAAGCGTTTAAACCATTCATGTTGTGCTTTGAAGAATTAAGTCTTGCATTTTTTCGGCAAAATGTAGAACAGTTTCAACAGGGATTTATAAAATAGACACACTTGTCTTTATTCTTTTGTTGTGGTCACCAAACATCTGTTAATTTCCTTTAAGGAAATATTTGCTTTGATATTGTTGCAGACCCGGCAGGGTGCAGTGCTGGTTTATTACGAAATGGCCTTGTGCCAGACACCACACTAAACTACCGAGTCCACAAACAATGTATAAAAAAATGCGTGAACGAACAGAGAAGGAATGTGGTTAATCCACACGTGCATAAATTAAAAATATTAAAAAGATAGCCTGCACAAAATGACAGAAAACGACTGGATGCAAAACAAGTGTAATTTTTCATTAAATGGAAAAACAAGTAGATTATCTCGTGGTACGAGATCAGAGAAAATGTTCCGCGCCAAAATAGGATAGCAAGAAGAACAAGGCGGGAAAAGTTTTTTTTTTAAGGTTCTGGAAAAAGGAACTCGTTAACACGAGGTGTAGATGTGCACAGATAAAAAAAGTACTTACTGTGGATTTGGGCATTGTAAGTGTGTGTAGTGTTTTTGTGTTTTTTATCTTTTTTTATGTTCAGGTTCAAGGTAGTGAGAAAGTTCAGTCGTCTCAGATTTTGGGGTCAGGCATTGAATTGACTGCTGAAAGTTTTATCGGATTGATGTGGACGTCTAGCCAAAAGGACGAAGAGTTATTTGCAGTTGGTTGCATCGTCTTAGTGAAGTTACTTATGGCGAGTCAAGAGAAACGAATAATTATTTGTAGCGAGTTGCATCGTCTTGGTGAAGTTGTTTATGGCGAGCCAAGAGAGACGAAGAATATTTGTTCGTCAGTAAGATATCCCTGTCTGTATTTAAGGTTGACTGACGAGGGATAAAATAAGCCACTTGTTGAATACGAAGTTCTGCCTACGACTGTGTCGTGTGTCTCGCACGTTTTCTAGCAGAAAACGGAGGTCATAAGATATTCCTGTCTGTATTATGGTTGACTGACGAGGGATAAAAATAAGTTACTTGTTGAATACGAAATTCTGCCCACGACTGTGTCGTGTGTCTCGCACGTTTTCTAGCAGAAAACGGAGTAGGTCTGACCTGCGGGTAGCATCAAGACGCAAAGAAGTCTTGGTAAAGTGTGAGGTCGACATTGTTGAAATAAGATATTCCGGCCTGCATATGGGTTAAGGGCACGGAATAAATGAGTTGCCCGTCTAGTCAGGTTGAAGATCGGGAAGCAACTGGTTTGCAAACGCTGTTCGTTTGAGACGCCAGGAAACGCGCGGGAAAAGATTCAAAATCTGTTCGGCTGACTTCCTCAGCAGGAGCTAGCGACCTTCCTCCTCCATATTACTGCTACGTCTAGCTGTGAGAGAGAGGAAGGGGTGCAAACCGCGCGCACACACGCACGAGTGTGGAAGGAGGAAAACTCGCACGCGCGTAAAATGTAGATGGAATTAATGTGTTAATTCCATAATATAATAGAAAGAACAATCAAAATATCGGTTATAAACGATACACACACATTATTTGTACTGGTTTTATAAGGGATAGAATTTATGCGCAAAATTTTTCCCCTCATGAATATCGGTAAGTTTCAATGGGTAATTTACAATTTGCTTCGGTACATCTCACTTTTACTATAATCTAAGATAAATTCAGTTCTAAATAAATCGGCTTAATCTACGAGGATCGGCTGAAAAGTTCATTCGCTGACCAACATATAAGGTGTATTTTTTCACCATAGTTCCACTCGCGGCTTAAACACACTTCTTCCATCGATTTTGCAATGTTTGGACCCCATTGGCAAAATAGTTAACATTCTGTTGGTCAATAAAGCGGTTATGACATCATCATCACGTCAATACTGGTTGGTACCAGTTGTTTTTTCATGTCGGTAAACAGATGATAGTCAGATGGGGGCCAAATCAGGAGACTAGGGAGGGTGACCAACCCAGTTCAAAGGCACGGTCATGCACATCAGCCATTTAGACAATCACCTCGATCTACCTCAAACAATGTCAGATTTACCGTGATATGATCAGCCTGGTGCACCTTTGATCAGGTGTCAGAAGACGTGGCACCCGCCTTCGCCATGTCATGTCATGTACACAAAACCAAATCATCTTCATTTCCTTCGCATTCCATTGGTCAGAAGAAAGATGCTTCCCCGACCCCTACATTCTTAACATTGTACAGAATATTTTCAACTCTCTCGCGGGATAAATAGCATTGGCTAATTGATTTATATCCAATTGTCTATCATCCATCACCAAGTGGTAAAAGTGATCAATATTTTCCTCGGTGGTGCCAGTTGCCGGATGTCCTGACCCTTGGGTCGTATTCAAGCTTTCTCCTTTTTCCCCTAAATTCAGCTACCTACTTTTGCACTGTTGGTAAAGCTGGAGCGTCATGCCCTAATGTAGCCTAATGAATGTCCTTGGGGTCTAAAGCATTTTTCTGCTGCTGCTTGATAACACAACGGTGCCAAATTTTGACTAGTTTCAAGAGAAATCGTTAC